ACCTCCATCACCACCATCGCCACGACCATCATATTATTGCTGCTACTCCTCGTGTTCCTGCTGCTCCACCTCCTCCTCCTCCTCCTCCTCCTCCTCCTCCTCTTCCTCCTCCTCCGCCTCCGCTTCCGCCTCCTCCTCCTCCTCAGCTTCCTCCTGGTATTGCACATCCTGCTTCTGCTCCTCTCAACATGTCTTGTTTAGCTCAACTCGCGCATTGGGGGGCAGGGCCCACTAGTGGCATGTATAGGCTACTTCTGGCAGCAGTACACCCCACTTCTGCCGCGCGCGCGGCATGTCTGCCCCGCCTGCGTCGCCCTATGGGTACGCAGTCGAGAAGGGCGGGCCCCCGACGAGGAGGACGGGATGGGAGGGCATGGGAGGGCAGGGGTGGCCCAGCAGCCGGCGCCCGCGCCTAGGAGTGTGGCTTCACCAGCTTGGCGTAGGGGTGTGTGGCTTGACAGCGTGGCCCGGGAGCGCGGCCTGGGAGGTGTGGCCCAGGAACCCCGCCGAGGGAGGTGAGCGGGGGGGGGGGGGGGCAGGCACCCCTGGGCTCCCACGCCGCACCCGCAGGTGCGCAGCGCAGGGCCGTGCGATCGCTTGGGCCAAAGTGGCTGCGGAGGAGGAGTCGGAGGAGGGGGCAGTGGTAGAGGCCTCCCACCAGGGTTCGAGCAGATGGGGTCGGAGGATCGCGCCGCATCGACGATACATCGGCGATGCACCGGCGATGCATCGTCAACGTTGGCGATGCATCGACGATATCGGCGTGGAGAAACTCGGGATCCGCATCGAGCCGTGTCGATAGTGCAGCGGCGATGCGGCGCGATCCTCCGACCCCATCTGCTCGCACCCCATCTGGGATGCCTAGAAGTGAGGCGGGGAGGAGGGGGGCGGGCAACGAAGGGGTGAAGGCGCCTGGACCAAAGCAGCACCACGCCCAGGGCGGGCTCCTCGCGCGCCGCCGAACGCCCGAGGCTCACCTCGCTGCAGGCCGCGGGCGCGCCAGCGCCTCGCCGGGTGGGCGCACCTCGACCCCCACGCCCGAGACTGCCTTGAGAGGCTCCAGATCGGCGACAAGTAAACTCGCCCAGGCGGCAACGAGATGGTCCGGGCAAGCTCCTTCGGAAGAGCGTTGGAAAATCATCTCGCTCATGACGACCGCGAGACCCCCAGCATGCACCCCAAGAAGCAGCCCACCCAAAAGAACTCCACCTAATGTTCCCCAAAATTTCCAACACACAACGCAACAGCCATGTAATGGTACAGCTGCGCCGCGCTACATCACCGTAGAGCCACTCTATTTAGACGGCCCCAAGATTGTTCCACCGACGCTGTTCGGGAGATATCAGTACAACCGCCGTCCATGCAGTTCGATATCGGTACAACCACCTTCCACGGGCAGCTGGATAAGACCATACGATAACTACACGAACACACGATGTCGAATGTTGCCATGTGGTAAAGACCACGTGCGTACCGAGAGTGAGTGAGAAGAAGGCCTCAACCAAGGTGCACAAACTCGTGTGAGATGCTGCGAGGAATTGAGCTTTGCGCGCGCCCGATCTCTCTCCCGATGAAGACCTCAATTGAAGCAACGCTGTACCATACAAGCGTGCAGTTGCGTTCTCAATCGCTCCCGAAGACTTCCACACTACACACTACACACACAGCTTGGCATTTCTGTGCATAACAAAGGCAACAGTGAGTTCCACTTGCATCAGCCGGGTCAAGCCAGAAAGCACAAGCAGACAAAACGGCAGGAAAGACTGGTACCAGCTCGCGGCATGTGGTGTTGCATGCCCCTCTGGGGCTCTGGTGGTGCATCGGGAGACTTGAACGCACGCCTTTCCGACCTTCGTCCTTCTGCTCTCTGCCACGCCACGTGGTCACGAAAAGCCGCGGCGCCTCCGTCGCACATGGAGCTCGCAAAGCACAAGTCTGCGCCAGCGATCCTGGAGCCCAGTCGCGGAAGAGCGAAGAAACACTCGGGGGAGCAGAAGAGGAGGGCCGCAATGGCCGAAATCAGAGGGGAAGAAGGCGTGCAGTACCCCACCAGAGAAGGACGAAAATGCCGACCGCTGGGACACTGCTTGCACGAATCTGAATTGAAGAATGAGCGGTGCACCCGGCAAGGGGAGGAGGACGGGGAGGGGGAGGGGGGGGAGGGGGGGGGAGGGGAGGGGAGGAGGGGGAGGAGGAGGAGGAGGAGGAGGAGGAGGAGGAAGAGAAAGCGCAGGAAGGGCTGGGGAAAAGAAACAAGCAGAAGAGAAGGGAGGAGGAGGGAGGAGGAGCAGGAGGAGCAGCAGCAGCAGCAGCAGCAGCAGCAGCAGCAGCAGCAGCAGCAGCAGCAGCAGAGGGCCCGAGAGCAAGCAGCTCGACGGGGGCTGTCGACTGACCCAGCATCGTGCGTCTGGCACCGCTCGTGCGCGTGGGGGACAAGCGTGAGTAGCAGTTTAGGCCAGCTTCCTGCTGAAGACAAGCTTGACCAGATCGAGAAGGCGGGGCTTCCCAATGATCGGAGAAGCGGGGTCCCTGCGGACGTCTCGGCACCCTAGACGGCTTGCGGCCTCAGCCCCGCGCGAGTCTCGACCCAACCCTGGCGGGGGCTCCTCTCTGCCCAGAGCACCCCCAGCACGTCTCGTCCACGCAGGGCCAGGAGAATGGCGCACCTGGGCGCGTCCATGCCTCACTCCTGGTATCCCTTCCTCCCCCCTCTCCCCCTCTCTCCGGCCTTTCCTCTCCCCCTCCCTCCGGCCTTTCCTGCCCCCCCTCTCCTCCCTCTCTCCTCCCTCTCCAATCCCCTCTCCTCCCAGTCTCCCTATCACCTCCATGGCCACAGGGGGGGGCAGCCAGGCGGCCGCCCGCAGCTGAGGATGCAGAGGAGGGCAAAGCAGGAGAAGCAGAACCATGAGGGCGAGCATCTGTCCTGCTAGCAGAACAGGACTGGGAGGAGCAGAAGTAGAGGACACACGCATCAGGAGTCGGGCTGCCGAGCTGGCGCAGACGTTCCACCTCCGCCCCGGTCGCCGTACAGTGTCTGGAATGGCCGCGGCAGTCTTCCACTCCATCCTCCCCTGCACCGCGTTGATGCACTGGGCGCCGGCGGTAAACCGTCAACCCTGGCCACCGCCGGGAAACTCGTAGAGCTCCTGATCGAGCACAGACGCCTCGTGAGTTCCCCTCAAGCAAGAGCTGTGCAGCTGCCCCAGATCCCAGAATTTAGCAAACACACCGTTCGAAGCAGCAAAGCAGTTGCAGACTGATATTGGTTTGTCAAATATGGCTCGAGTGGCAGACCGAGCTCAGGACTCTCGATACTGCAGAGCGAAGCTCCTTCTCGTGCCTGCCTTTTTCACCGGTGAAAGATATGTAGCTGCGTCGATTCCGAAATCTTGCAAAAAAACACGCTTCGAAACAGCACAACGGCTGCATAATGATAATGATGTTTCGAATGTAGCCCACGTACGAAAGCGAGCTCATGCCACTCGAGACTGCAGAGCCAATCCCTGGTGTCAAGCCTGCGCTATCCACGAGCGACAGTTCTGTGGCTGCCCTGGATCGCGAAAGTTAGCAGAATAGCTGCTCGAACCAGCAGAGCAGCAGCAGAGAAATATCGGGTGTTTGATCCGAGTTCGAAAGGCAGACCGTGCTCAGTTCCCTCGGGGCGGCAGAGCACAGCTATTAGTCAAACCCACGTTCACGAAAAGGGAGAGCTCCGATCTCAATCTGGAGCAGCAAAGCGGTTGCAGAATGATACTCGATATTTCAAAGATAACTCGGGTAAGATACGGATCTCAGGTCTCTCGAGGCTGCGGATCAAAGCTTCCGGTGCTGCTGAATCGTTTCGTGCAATCGAGCGCTCTGTAGCTGCACTGAATCCCAACATTTCGCAGGAAAACCTAGCGAAGCAGCAAAGCGGTTGCAGGGTGATGCTGGTTCTTCGATCACAGCTCGAGAAGCAGACCGAGCTCAGGTCTTTCGGGGCGGCAGAGCAAAGCTATTGGTCAGACCCGCGCTCACGAACAGGCAGAGCTCTGAGCTCACTCTGGAAGCTGGGATGAAATCAAAAAACCTGTTCGACTGAGCAGCAAAGCGGTTGCACAGAGATACGAGGTTTCAAATATAACTTGGGTTGAAGATCGCTTTCAGGTGTCTCGAGGCTGCAGATCAAAGCTACCAATGTTACTGCATTCGATCGTGCCATCAAGAGCTCTGCAACTGCTCTAAATATCGAGATCAAGTTCACCAACCGAGCGCGTGCCAAAAAACATGCTGCTAGAGCGAATTACCGCCATAACACTGCTCCCCCTTCAACGCGGTAGGATCGAACTGATATCGAAATGGTGGACAGCAATAACACCCAGATCGCCCGGAAAAAAATGTCCCATCCCAAACGAATGGTCAGACAGCTTCCAGCATGTTTGTCAACTGTGTCCAAGCCACTAGAAAAAAAAGCATACAAGATGTTCCAAACCAACTAGCCCGCTGGCGTTCCGGCATTCCCTCGCTTCTGCAGCTACGCTAACAGGGAAGCTCTACGAGTCATTTGTCAATCTTAGACCTTTTGGAGCTGGGACGGGTCTGACCCGCCACTGCATTCTGGTGGGCCCGTCTGGGCCTCCAAACTCTCCTCGAGATCTTGCGATCGAAGTTCAAACGCTCCCTGTTTAGCTTGGGCCCTGCCCTGAAAACGACCTGGCGGCGCATCTCTGGACCAGCGGAGCAGGAGCAGCAAAAGTAGGAGCAGGGAGATGACGGTGACGGCGGGCGGAACGTGGCGGTGGTAGCGATGGCGACGGTGCCATCGTTGGTGGTAGAGGTCGTGGTGGCGGCGGCGACCGTGGCAAAGTTGGCGGTGGCGACGGCGGTGGCAAATGGGGCAAAGAGGGCGGTGGTGGAGATGGCGGCGGGCGGTCAGATCGAGGACGCGGCGGGTTTGCTGCAGTCGCCCTGGGCCCAGCGAGCTGGCGGGCGAGCCGCGGCTGGCTTCCCGAGGGGCGGACGAGCCAGCGGAGAGGGCCTCCGCGCTGGGCAGCTCCAGGCCGTGGGACAGGTCCTCGGCCGGGGGGGGGGGGAAGGGAGGCCTGGCTCTCCGCTGATTTACACCTGGCCCCAGCGCGCAGGGGGCGGCAGCGCAAGAGATCCCGGGGCCGCAGTGCTGCCCGCGCGTGCGGCCGAGTGCGGCCAGCGGGGCTCAGCCAGGTCATCCGTATGCTCTGGGCGTGGCGCCTCTCCCCTCCCCGACCTCCTGCCCTTCCCCCTCGCTGTGTCCTCGCGACTCTCCACAGTGGCCTTCCGCCCTCGTCTCCCGTCCTCGCTTCCTTCCGCTCCCTTCTTATCTCGGAGGTCGGCGAGGACGAGGGATGAGGGCCATGAGGGACGCAGGAAGAAAAGGACGGGGGAGCACCGCCTTCCTGCGCAGCGCACCCACAATACGACACATGCAGGGCGATCATGAACAAAAACAAAAATCTACCAAGAAGCTGGAACACACACGTGGCTGGACTCACGTGGGGAACAGATTGAGGCCACGCGCTGGGCCATCTCTTATTGCGACGGTCATCCTGCCGACCCACCCTCCACCCTGTCCACAGCGGGCTCCAGGAATTAGAGACGGAGCGCTACGAACTAACCCCCTAAAAGTATCAGCGCCACGTGGGGGAGGAGGAGGAGGAGGAGGAGGAGGAGGAGGAGGAAAAGGAGGAGGAGGAGGACGAGGAGGAGGAGGAAGAGGAGGAGGAGGAGGAGGAACAGGAGGAGAGGGAGGAGGAGGGAGGAGGAGGAGGAGAAGGAGGAGGAGAAGGAAGACAAGGTGGAGGAGGAAGAAGAGGAGGAGTTCCATCATGAGTCCGGCCTACGCACTCGAGAACGCGCATGCAGACAGGCAAAAAAACATGGTCAGAAAGGGCGAAAGGCGGGCGCAGGCTCAGGAAGGAGCGTCTCACCTCCTGCAGCGGTTCCGCCGCGCTTGCGCCCACGGGCTCACCAGATGGGCACGTCGTAGTACCTGGTCCCAGGGCCTCGCCACATTCGATCCTGCGTAAAATAGCCGCCTGACTCCTCGACATGCCGCCAATGGAAACCAGCTTGTTGAGACGACCCTCTCCTGGCGGCGCAACGTGCCCCAACTTCCCACACGCCTGGCAGCACAGCTGGCCATTCATCAGCATGCAGTTGTGGCTGGGTTCGGTGTTCTGGCCGCGGATTCTGATGGACGGCTGCAGGGCATGGGAGAGCTGCAGCGGCGCTGCCTACTCAGGCTGGCACTCCCAAACAGCACACGGCGTTTGCTAAGCCATATGGCCGGCTTACCTCCTCCAGGCGATCGCTTGCATCTGATGCAGTAGCATGGGCGCCGATATTGGTGACGTTGCCTCATAAAGGGGCCGTTCTGCAGCTCCACGAGGACATCCTTGTCGATGCCGAATGGCTTCTGCTTCCCAATGGGGCTCATCGTGTGCGTGTCCCTGGGGGGTGCGGCGACTTGGCCGGTGATGGCCACTGCGCTAATGTGTATCTTAGATGCCAGCCACTCCCAATCACTGAGTTTGTTGCCCTGCGGCGGGACGGGGTCCATAGCTTTAGCCACACCTGCTTCCGCCAGATCATCTGCACCACAAATTTCAAAGGGACACTGAAATCTTGGAACCGCACACCGTGAGAATAGCATTGCTCGATGGTCCACTTGACTCTTGCCGCCGAATTTAGTCTCCACCGTTTGTGCCACATCTCTCCACCACATCTTGTTAATATCTCCAGGTGGTAAGCCTCTCTGGTCAAACCAAACATCCAATGTTATCTGCGCGTCCGTCCGGATTGCGACGGGGCCCTCCGTCGCCGCGAGGCAAAACGCCAGGGCCGCAATCTCCGAGATGGACACCGTCTGCCTTCCAGGAATCACACCACCGAGCTCGATGAGGTCAGCAGGTGAGCTCACCGTCAGCGCCCAACCCCAACCTGTTCGGGAATTCGCTGAGCCATTCAGGAAAACCATACTCGCGATGAACTTGCTGCCCTCTGCGTTCCCAAAATCATCCACACTTGGAACGCTAAATCCCATCCGGTCAGTTGGCGTCGCAGAAGTCGCCGCAATCGCATTTATCACGCGGCATTGGGCTGGGCACTGGATTAAAGCGTCCTGCTAGAATCCCTTGGAGCCATAGGAGGCTAAGCGACAGATCTTGTTTGATGCTACTTCTGGCTCTGGCGGGAAGGTCAGTAGTGGCGCCCATCCAGGGACGTCGGATGTCATCGTTGTATATGCAGCTGTAGATCTGGCAGATTGCATCCTGCACTGCCTCATTGCATGTTACGCATGTAGATGTCGCATCGCATTACGCCACAGCCAACCTCGCGCGGCTCCAGAGACCTCACGCGACGAAGGGCCCCAGCGCTCCAGCCTCATTGCCGAACGTCTTATTCTTATTATTACTCACATGTTCCTTCTACTGCGTATTCTTCTTCTTCCGCACGGGCGCCGCACATGCCCTGGCACGGCACCATCCGTCATGCCCCAGCGTCTGACCATCGACGCGCTGCGCTGCTTGCTTCCAGGGTGCGACGCCGGCCCTGCCATTGATGTTGCTGCAGAGGTCGGCGAGGTCGAGGTCGTCGTCATCTGCGATGGACCGACCGTCGTCATCACGATGATCAATGCATGGGTCGGCCGTTCAGCTCGCCACCCAGCAGCAGCGAGCGCCACGATGAGCGCTGCCAATGGACCCGCCACCGCGCTCCACATCTTCCCCTTGCTACCAAAGGACAAGTTCTGAACGCGCTTCCACCCTTGACGCGCGCGATCTCGGAAAGGGTCTGGCCTGGGCCACTGCCCCCCCCATTCTGTCACATGTTGCCGCAGCGCCGGCGCATCTCGCTGGGGTAACACGGGACCGCGACTGTCGCACTGCAGCGGCCTCTCTTCATGAGACCATCCACGATAGCAGCCTGACTCCTGGACCTCTTGGCCAGATATGCTGAAGACCAAGGGATATAGTTTCGCGAGCTCCTTTCCCGCGGGCATGAGAGGGAAAGCACTGCGCCCTCCGCTTCATTGCCTTACCTTGATGCAGAAAAAACTTCGCCCTTGGCGCCCTCCTGGCAGCCGCCTTCCGCGGCCATCTGGGCGGGTCGCTGCTGGCCCGGAGTACCACCCAAACCCAAGTCCCCTACGCGCAGATGCATCTCGATGCTGACCCCCACGCCCCTCGGCTTGACTTGGGCCGCGCGGTAAATGACAGGCGAGGAAGAACCCGCTGCTTGGTCGGAGATGCTGAGGCCTACGCCCAAGCACACTTTGACAGGCGCTAAGGAGGCCGCAGAAATTTGACACTTGGCTAACGCCATGACTCCTGCCTGCCGAAGTGCCAAGCCATCCACACCTTCTACGACGCAGGAGCCGGCACGCGCGTCTGGCGCCACTTCAAACACGCGGTAGAGGGAGGCCCAGGCTGAATGATTAGCAGCATGACACCCAAAAAAGTCTCATTGCGCGGGCAGCTTGATTTCGCAATAGACCCATACGCCCCGAGGAACCTCGGCGCAGAGTGAGCCGCGACGCCCATGAACAATTCGACCGGCGGGCATTCAATGTCAATGGTTCAGTAGACCAGCCTTGCGCAACTAACGCAACCGCTGGATTTCTCCAAATCCAAGAACAGCTCTGATACCGTTGTGCCCCTCGAGTGAGAGAATGCTTCGTCCAGCGCAAGTGTCGCTTGCGCCGCTTGACGAGCCGATGGCCCACTGACTGCCTCACCCCAGATGCCAGCCTCTTTCTCTCGCGCCAGTCTGGAAGATCCCCGCGGCAGAGCTCGCCATAGATACGCGCGGGCACGGGCACGAGGCCGGCTGAGAGCTCGGCCCCCGCAGGGTAGCCCGAGGTATTCTCGGCCAGCATGGCGCAACATTTCTCGGCAAGCATGGTGCACCACGCGTGGAGCCGATGGTCGGGCCACGCAAGTCTCCCCAACCATTGAAAACGTCACTGACGAACCCCCCCCCTCGCTTGAATGGGAACGGCAGCAATGCGAAAAGGCGCCCATCCAATCTATCAGCACCCAACGCCGCTGTCAGTTTGAGCACATTCGCCGCCTTCCAGATCTGCCCTGCCGGGTGCCGGAGGACGCCGCCCTCGCCCAGGGCCCCCCATGCCCCCCTCTCCAAGTGCACAGCACATCACGTAGCTCATCATCAGGCGCATGCTGCCGCCATCTCGTCTGCCATTGAGCGGGCCGCCATTGCGGCCCACGCTGCGAGCCCCCCGCTGCCTCAGGTGACGACGAGCACGCTGCCCGCTGCCCCGGACCACTGAAACTGCTCCTCAGGTTTCGACGAGTATCCTTCGTCGCCAACTCTTCCATGTCCTGTCGTCAGCTGCCAGTCCTCTTGCAGGCGTTTACCCGTCTACCGAACCATTGATTCAAGCACGCCCTGACACTCTGGGCCTTCGGCCGATCGCACGCATGTAGAAAAGGGGACAGAAGTCAGACGCCACATCGACGCCTCCCCCCCCCCCCCCTGGCAGCCCTTCAACAGACAACGTCGCGCACTACCAAGCCTGAAGACCTGGCGCGCCCTTCGCGGCGCAATCATTGCGTCGCTGCGGGTGCCGCCCCTGTCTAGTCATTGGACATGGGCGCGCAGCGAATTGTCGCGACCTCCAGCACGCCGTCGCAATCAATGATGCGCGGCTGCCGCCTGCTTGCACAAGACGCCTGCGCGCCTGGAGGATGTCGCAGCAGCTTCATGCCACGCCCTGCGTCGACCAATGGGCTGCCGACGGCTTCGTATCTATCAGCGACGCGATCAGGCATGGCCTCTCTCAAACAGCATTGAACGCGCTGCACTTTGGCCGTCGATGGACGGCGCGCTGCGCCAGCCAGTTCTGCAAGACGCGCCTCAGCCGCAGATGCCTACAGCGGGCGCCGCGTGTCTAGCGCGCGCGAGGGGCCACCCACGACGCCCGTGACCTTCGCTTTCAAGAGGCTGCCGGCCTGGGGCGGGGGGGGCGCGAGAGGGGGGGGGCGCCTTCGGCTCGCGCCCAACTCTCTGCAGCAC